AAAGTAAAATAAATTAATCTGGGGAAAACCAGTGAGAAGAACGTTCAGGATGCTAAACACCATTTTTAATTGTGGTCCTTCCTGTCAAAAAGTGTATCAATACTGTTTTTATTTGACTGTAGATACAGCTGCTAAACCAAAGGTGGAGTGCAGTGTGGTAACTGAATTCACRGACCACATTTGTGTGACCATGGATGCAGAACTGATTATGTTTTTGCATGACTTGGTGTCCGCTTATCTAAAAGAAAAAGAAAAAGGTAAGTTACCGTATGAGGACCAATTTGTGAATGTCATACTACAACATTATTTTATAAGTATACAAATAYATACTATGATTTTTTTCAAATGTTTTAATTGTAAAGAAAAAAATAAGTATTTTTTGTCTATTGAAGTCAGGACAAGTAGGATCAAACATTTGGACCTAGTAGTACAAAATGATAGTTCTCTTTCAACTACTGATGMGTGAAATTGAATTGCATATTAACAAAAAACAAACACAACTTTTTTTCCTGGTTGTTTTGGACTGAAAGACAAGAAATCACAGGTATTTTTGCCYTTCATAAAAATACAGCACTGTTCAGGAAAAACTTGGTCTGGCTTCAAGTCTGCTGATACAGAACTGGAAACAGGGCAGTTGCACCCAGACTTGTAAGCTGAGAAGAGCTGCTGTGTTCATGGAGCTACGATGCTTCACTGTGCTATCTAGGTGCAGGAGGTTCTTCACTGTCCAGTGAGTGACCTCCAGTACAGCCCCTATGTGCACTGTGCCTCCAAGGGCAGACATATCCCTGGATTTGTGTTCCTTATCCACTCCTGATGATCTTCTGCAAGTTACTTGAAGTGATAATCTTGTTCCTATTTTACCATCTGGAGTTTTATTTAACTTTCTGTTGGATGATGTATGCCTTAAGACAAATTCTGTTAGGACTTGATTATAGAAAGTGATACACATTTCATTTAAAAGAAGGACCTCCAATTATATATGATTTGGGCTGATGATTARAGAAGGACCTCCAATTATATATGATTTGGGCTGATGCAGAAGAGAGAACTTGACATTCTAGTGTTATCTTTTTAAAACTTCTGCCCATTTTGCAGCTATTTTTCCTCCTCGCATTCTGGCTGCTCGTCCAGGACAGAAGAACTCTGTTGGTGTCCTTGACGAGAGCTCCACTGACGGAGAAGCAGAGGAAAGCATTACTTACACTACAGTCGACTGGAGAGAGTTCATGTGCAATACTTGGCATTTAGAGCCCACCCTCAGGTAACCAGCGGGCGTATCTGCAGTCAGTTCTATGTGCTTTATCTGTGGGTTCTGTCCTTCAAACCACAAATGTTTCCAGCTGATGCTCTTCATCTACTACATGTGGATGCTTTTACAAGTTGACTTTGGTTCTTAGTGATGATATGAAAAATAGCTGTTACAGGGCATGACAAAAGCTGGCTAACTGCCCAACTGATCACATTAGTTAATCTCTAAACTAAACTTTGGAAGCTAAATTGCTTAGAGCTAATACTGTTAGTAAAAGCAACGTTGGATATTCAAAATGAGTTTATACCAAAATTCAGTGCATTAAGGACTACAGATGACTTTCTTTATTCTTTCCTATGACATCCCAGTTTTGAAAATGACTTTTCTGGCATCCAGTTTCTCAACTTGCATCTTTCATTTACTTTGCTGTTTTTCTTCTGAAAGCATGTAGAGTTGCCTTTCTGCTTTCCCACATCATTCTATAATAAAATTTAGTTTTTGCACAGTATAAACATTAAGATAAGCATCTTAATGAGAAATATGCTTGAAAAAAAATCAGGTGCTGATAAATYGATCGTCCTCTCAATTTCTTCCTCTACCCTGATTTTTTTTTTTTCTCATGAGACACTATGCAACAACATCCTTTTTCCCATGCAAGATGGGGTAATGTCTGTCTGCCATTGCAGAGCAGGAATGCAAGCAATTCTATTTACTAATAAACCATTGTCTTAAAATAAAAAAGCACTGCAGATCAGCTGCTAAATGACTGTTTAAACTTCGCATTGAAGAACTGTGTGTATACAAGCAACCCACTGCTCCCAGTGCACACTGGGAATGACTTTGGTCTTTATCAGGGTTTTTAATCTCTAATGAAACTGCTGGAGCACCCAATATCAGAATGTGAACCCAGGCCAAGCAAATCTGACAGATAGATGACATTTATAGCTAGTAATAGTGTGAAATGAACTCGGAAAGGATTTGGATGCTGCCACTTCTATTTTCTTTGCTTCCTCAAGCCTCTTGTTCCTTCCTTAAGAAAAATACTACGTGGTTCAACYTGTATAAATGAAGTTGGAAAGAATGCCTGTCGAGCTTCAGTTGTTTGCAAGTGCCAATGATAAAAATGGATGTTTGCTTAGACAAACACATGCTGCTTTATCTGTGTTTATACACATATGTGCATTTGAGCTCTCTATTTTTAATTTTAGATTAATCTCCTGGACTGGGAGAAAAATCGATCCAGTTGGCGTCGACTACATCCTGCAGAAGCTGGGCTTTCACCATGCGCGCACCACTATTCCCAAGTGGCTGCAGCGCGGCGTCATGGACCCCTTGGACAAAGTTCTGTCAGTTCTTATAAAGAAACTTGGTACTGCACTACAGGATGAAAAGGAAAAGAAAGGAAAAGACAAGGAAGAATACTGAAGTAGACTGCAATGACCACAATTCCGTTTGATTCTGTTGAAGTGTTTTGTTATATATTGAGTTTAAATATGGTTTAAAGAGAAACCTAACAGCTTTTTGCTACTCTATTTAAAACTTACATTGTGAGTAACTGTTTACWGTGGTACATGCTACCATTCTGTATTTGAAGTATTGCATGATTATGACCAATGTACATYCTGTGAAGGGATAGCTGGAACACTGTAAATCTGCTCCTGGGCACTGTTTTATTATGTGCAATATGATTCCTGCATCTTTAAAGTACTTGCAGATTAACTGTGAATTTTCATAACTTTATTTGCCATAACACAACCCCCTTGTTGATAATGTGACTGGTAATTGCTTTGTCATTGTAGACTTGTGTAAATTATATGTAYATAACTTACGAAACTGTGATTGCCTTAGTGCTTAAAAAATATAAGTTTATTATTACACTTGTAATAAAATTTAATGATTGTACAGGCTTTTGTTCCGCCGCCTCCGGGAGCGAAGTGACGTGCTGGGCTTCCCCTCCGCCCTGGAAACAGTGGGTGCCGCCGCGGCCATCCCGGCCCGGCGCCTCCCGCGCTTCCTGCTCGCGCCCCGCGCCCGCGGGAAGGCGGCCAGACAGAGTGGGAGCAGCGGCGGCGACGGCAGGCGCGCGCGGGCCGTTGCGGCCGTTGGGTGGGGGCCATTGGGCRGCGGCCGTTGGGCGGCGGCCGTTAACCGGCCCACAACGAGGCTCCCGCCCCTGCGGCMTCGCGCCTCGGCCGCGCCGCACGTGGCCCGAGGGGCGGGGGCGGCTCCGTCCCGCACCTCTCTTCCCAAAATGGAGGGAGGGAACAAGGGAGGGGGGAGCCAGGATAAGAGCCGGGCGGGGGGCGGCCTGGCGGGTGCGGCGCGCTGCCCTGGTGCGCGGGCCGCGGCGCTGGAGAGCCGCGCTGCGCGCCGCGGGACGGCGGTGAGGCGGGGGCAGGGGCCGGGCTGCGCTGCGCTGCGCAGGAACCGCGGGCTCGGGGAGGCGAGGGAGGGAGGGAGGGAAGGAGGGAGCCTCCTTTCAACCCCCCCCGCCACGTTCCGCAGCGGAGCGCGGGTGCGGGTTACTGGTGCTGCTCTTGTGGAGGGGCTGAAGTGTAGGAACGGTGTAAGGATCAGGACATGTTAAAAAAAAAA